CCTTCATATTTTCGAAATTGTGAACTGAATCATAACTACTTTGTGTTTCTTTCCCTAAACCCAAAGACATGCATTTGATGGATTGTTTCTCGCCATTATTATTTTATTACTAGCGGGAACAATTAATTCAGAACGAATATTTAACCGCTTCAATGATTTTTACCTATATTTCTTTCGGTCCAGTCGCGTAGGCTTGAGCCGGTCGACGACAACGTTTTTTGAATTGACTGTATGTTCGTTTGACGCGGACAAATATAATTCGAGGCTTTGTAGCCATACTGACTTTATGTCACAAATGGATAAATCTAAACTGAAATATTCCTTGTTTTGAAGTTGCAGTTGTGAGCGAATATGTTGAGGGTTAATGAGATCTCTCTCCAAACCTCTGGTAAATCATGATGACTTCAAGCGAAATATCTTGTATGCACATTTCGTAATTGAATCATCCCACTTAATAAGGGTATAGATTTGAAGTTATTTCAATAGTTCGAGTTTTTTGACCATGAAGTTCTAACTAAAATAAAGAGGCTTTGCACCATCACGTCACGACAAGACAGTCAGATGACAACGAGGAAAGTGAATTCTTTCTTATGTAAACCAAACTAGATCATTCAATATACCGTCTATATTTCTCAAGGTTGCGTGCGCATCCAACTTGACGGGCCACAAAACTGAAAAACGCAAGCTCAGTAAAATTGAGAAGACAGTTTTATATTTAAAGAGGAGAATAATCAATTTTTATGAATTCTTATCGAAAATAATTTCATAGCAATGTAGAATGATACTCGTGTTCTGGTACCGTGGCCCGTCAAGTTCCTTAAATTTGGATGCGCACGCAACCTCGAGCAAACGGTCTATTGTTTTTGCCTCCTGTCATGGCTGCCATCACGTGATGGTGCAAAACTTTTATTGAGAAGTTAAAAAAATAAAGAGAAATTTTAAAAGGCCGACCAAAAAATGGTGACTTGTGTTGTAATGCTGGAAACATCAATTGAAAAGTTTCAGGTAAAAAATAATAACAGCAGGTTTATCTTTCTGACGTGATATCCACGTGATTATGAAGAGATTATCGCCTGGTCAGTATACTGATCTGAACAGTTTCCACGTGAACACCACGTGATCACCTGTGACGAACGCGTTGTTTTGCTAACAGCTGTTTTCAGTGATGTCAATCACAATCATTTATCAGCATGACGTCTTCAAGTTATGTTTGCGCTTGCTATGTTTGCAAACTAGTGTAATTCGAATTGGTCTTGGTACTATTATATGTATTTGCACCTATATTGAAAACCAACTAACATGGCTACCACTGTTATTCCCTTAGGAATGATTACAAACCACCTATAGTGAACACCATCCAGCATGGCTGCCACTTTTATTTCCTTAGGAATGATTACAAACCACCTATAGTGAACATCATCCAACATGGCTGCCACTTCTCTTCCCTTGGGAATGATTACAAACCACCTATAGTGAACACCATCCAACATGGCTGCCACTTTTATATCCTTAGGAATGATTACAAACCACCTATAGTGAACACCATCCAACATGGCTGCCACTTTTATTCCCTTAGGAATGATTACAAACCACCTATAGTGAACACCATCCAACATGGNAAACCACCTATAGTGAACACCATCCAACATGGCTGCCACTTTTATTCCCTTAGGAATGATTACAAACCACCTATAGTGAACACCATCCAACATGGGTGATTCTGGTCTAATTTTGATGATGTTATTTGTTAATTTCACTACTAGCTATACGTTTCCCAATACCGAATAATCGTTTTTTCCCTCATTCCTATTTCATTCAATTATAAGTGAGCAATATCCTAAGTAGCGTATCATACTTATTGACTTATTTCGTGCTTAGATTGTTTCCTATTAAAGCGACATATGATTATCGACTTAAAGGGATTCTTGTGTAGTTAAAAACTCTTTTTCCATTAGCGGTTCTGCCTAGATACCACTCGCTGCGATTACGTATAGCAGGAAACGATTACTTAGGAGCCAATAAATAGCGAAGTAAAAGTATTCACACTTTCAAGTGAGAGGAGAATGCCGGCATTAGTGTGTAACTGTAAAGACAAATATTAAGCAGCCCGGTTACCGACGCGTGCTTGAATTAGTGCTGTGGATCACGACATGCATGCAACGTCTTTTACAAGAAACTTCCTTTGATTTTCATATTTGTGAAATAAATGTACATAGATGAATCGTTAGTCGTTGTTTTACGAGGGTAACGATTAATAGCCAGTGGCTAACAACCCTGTCACTCTCCTTCATTAGCGAAATGGACTATGAAAGCTGATATTTGCGGAAGGAGAGCCCAGAGAAAAACTCATGAAACACAGGAGATAACCAACGAGCAACTCTGCTCGCATAACCACAACCACAGCGGTGAGATATGCTGTATATTAGGCAAAATCAGGATAAAAAATGTTTGAAAATAGCTTGTCTTTTATGTTCTTGAACAACCATTATTCAAAGGATCACCGAAAAATATAAAATGCTTTTCTTTGATGAACGTTTATAACCCTCAACACCCATGGTTCTGAAAGTCGCGGAAAAATAGCATGTCTTTTCATGTTAGTTTTTGAACAACCAATATTCTGAGGGTCACTGAGGTTTCACTTATTTGTCTTGTGGAGAGGTTGCTGATGAGCACGTGCAGTACAGTAGTTAGCTAGATACAGAATTTATGCGAACCTCCCACATTAATTAGCCTATGCCAAACCAAGCTATCTTAATGTCCATCTATAACGGTTTGTTTAGTAAAACCTGACAAAACACACATTTATTTGGAGAAAATCAATAAAAGGGATAGTTGGTATTGAGCAAGTTGAGAAATAAATAAGGGACAAATATTCGTAGCAATCCCTGCTTTAACGCCGGCCTTCGACGGCTCCTAAATATTGCCTTTCTTTTCAAACTAGGTATCCTGTTTTGTCCAAAGATCATCTTTATGCCTTATATACGCACAATACTGGATAGAAGTGAAGTGCGTGTTATTGTGTAAACACAGGCCTCATTTAGCCACTGGCGACGTTATACACCAGCATATATATAGGATATGCTTTCACACTCTAGTCAATACTGACTCTAACAAAGTCTTCTGGCTCCATTAATATAAAACAAGATTTCAATCTTTTATACTTTAGTTCTTTTGCTATATATTATGATAATAAAATCGAGAAAACTCTGAATAGAAGTTAAATTAATTTTTGGGGGAACAAAGTGTAGTTGCTTTATGAATAATTTTTGTGGTTAGTGTTCCATGCTTCTCTAAGGTTCATACGTTTTGTTACTGTTTGTTTTAGTATGATATAACAGATTAAAGCAAGGAGGGCGTTGTTTTCAATTTGACCCTCAATTCCTGATCAAATAGAATTTGGAAGGTAATTTTTGTGGTTCGAGGGAGAAAACAAAAACAAAACAAAAAACAAAAAACAAAAAAAACAAAACAAAACAAGAGAACCAGGAGAAAAATCCTCAAAGCACAGGAAAGATACCATTTTTGACCGTTTTAGTTATTGTATGTCGAGAAAAAGCAAGTATTTTTAAGAGATAGAAAGTATTTTTTCATATTTTTTTATTTTTATTTTTTATTCATTATTTTATTATTATTTCTTGTTGTTGTTGTTGTTTTTTTTTCAGAGATAGAAAGTAGAATGATGGAGTCTGGCCTGGTTTTTCGTCACTCCTATTATTAAGCGCAGTGTATCTTGTTTCTCTTCCGTGATCAAATCTCGTTCCACTAAAAAAATCTCATCAGATGTTCGCAATTAACTAAAATTGTGTGCTGTACGCTAATGCTTATAGTTATCCGTCTTCAATGTCGGAGCTAAAAATCGATAAAACCTTTCTGCGATTAAAGCATATAAAACGCCACATATAGGTGCTTGTTGGTGAAGTAGGGACATCGAGATATTGTGAATGTGATACACTGCACAATGACTCACTCACTCACCCATGACTATAGTACATTATATTATTAATAAACTCAATATACACGACACTCCAAATGCTAAAACCATCTTTAAAATATTTCAAATTTGAGAACAGAGGCAATATTAATGTTAGTTTTTGTGGGCTGCTTTTAAAAAACTTGGAAAACAGTGTCTCCGTTGACGGCATGTTTTAACTTCATTAATCTAGGCGTATCTGGTAGGATGTCAATCACATAAGTGAAGAAAGAAAAAAATCTGCACCGGATGAACATGAAGAAGAAAGAGCATCGATAATAAATATACAAAGAGAAAATTATTTTTATATAGAACAATAAAAACATGTTTTTGTGACTTTGGAGAAAGCTTTCAGGGCTTTGTTCGCGAGTCTAAAAAGGTGGTTAAAAGAGGAAACTGAATCAAAGAATGACAGATCTGAGGGCGAAGATATTGCCTTGGCGGAATTGTTTTCCTAAAGGCTTCCCTATTCCTTATTCATATAGAGCTTAGTCATTGGACTAGAAATTATTACGAACCCAAAAAAAAGATTCACGCTTAAGGACACTGTCATTTTTCTGAAATTAAGATCGAATATTTTTAGATTTTCTTTTAACTCCTGTTTATCTTTTTTTAATCCTTTTGCTGCGCCTTCAATGACCACCAGCGTAAACAGTATTTCTAGTTAATGCGATATTTGCTTGCCAAAGCTTTCACGTCTCTCAAGAACAAATTTTCAACAAAGTAAGAAAATAATGTCCATCTATTTACGGGATCACAAACATTTTTAAATTAACTCTCAGCATTAACTTTAAGAACGTATTAAAGAATTTCATTTTAGAGTTTTTGGAATTATGCTCGCGTCTGACAAGACACACACGAAGCATCGCCCTAATAATCCCCGCTAATGAGCTGTTTTGAAATTAATTCCAAATCAGAAACTGGAAAGTGGACTAAGCAGCTCAAAGGCATTTTCTTAATATTCACATTTAGTTTGTCCGATAATAGAATAGAATGGTAATACATGCAAATCGACTGGAAATGAGACTGACCTAGTATTTAGGATGCTGTATATAAATAAGTGTAGAGCGAGTCACTATTACTACATAACAGGCCTTCCTCTAACAACAGCACGACCAAAACAGAGCGGCTAGCTTGATATCCAAAGACTACCAAACTACTTTTCTAATATCTCGACTGACTTTACAAGGTATGATTGGGGTATTTCTAGTTAAAGTTTCATATGATATCTAGTTCCTTTGTGTGCAATTTTCAAGTGTTTTTTGTTGACTTTGGATCATTTACGACCAAGTATCTTAGAGCTAGGTCAACTGAGTATGTCACCCTAATGGACAAAAGACCTTTGAAATGTTAAAATGAGATCTTCTATCTCTCTAATGATTGATATATGAAGCTAAAACACTCGGGATTAAGACTACAGTTCAAAATGACTCCAGAATGATCATAGCTAAATGAAATGTGAAAGTAATACAGCATATATTTTAGTTGGAATGTTCCGTAACATAGACCAAACATTCAGATCATTTTCTTTTAATCAAAACCCTTTGGGCAAACACTACGCCAAGTTGCATGATTCGGTTCAGTTCCAAATTCATTCTCTGTTGCCATAAAAAGCTCAGTTCCAAATACAGTCGAGCAATATTAGTTTAAACATCATTCGTTTCGCCAAGCGCTTATTTTATCTCGCCGCGTGAAACCTCGAAGGTCGAAAATCCGTTTTCGGAATTTTTGAAACCTTTTCTTTTAAGCAATCGGAATCGGAAAGGAAAAAATTCCCTTTGACCATATTCTATTTATAACAAAACATGCTATATAGAAAAATATAGATAAAAAAAGATTTTAAAAATAATTAATCTTCGTTCTAATTATTTCTTTTGCCAACGCGAATGATTTTTAGAAAAGAGTGTTTTTTAATATGAAGTCTTTTTCGAGTTTCCTTAGGTATATACGCGGGCGTGGAACACCAGTCAATTTTTCTCTAAATCGTACAGCTGTACAAGTAGCTTTTGCCAACTGCTGTTCTAATGGACACACAATTATAAAATTCTGTAGAACATTTACTCGAGACGCACAAACTTCCGACAAATATACTGACAACTATTCTTGCAGTGGAAACAAATGAGAAGGAATCTGAGTTTTGATTTGAGTTGTGTTATGGTTTGATTTTATTACGCTCTAAGAACTCCAGCCTCCCGCCCGATAGCGGAAGAGATCTAGAGTTTCTTCTCTCAATCTTAATCTATTAAATAACGGTCAAACGTGATAGAAGGAGACGCGGATAAGTGTCAAATTAATACTAAGCATATGGTTAAGAACCTGCGATTTGAATACCATTTAGCTGCATGACCAGTGATTTTTCGAAGCCTGATACAAACTTCGGCGACGATTTGGCATTAAAAATAAGCTAGAAAGAGCTAGAGGGGATGGTAAAATGAAGAGAAGGAAGTAAAAAAAGAAGAAGGAAAACAGAGAAAACGGTGTCGAACCATTTTAATTGCTGTAGATCAGTAGCCGGATGGTAATAAGCAATAGTTGAATGACGTACTTGAATGGTTGTGCGTAAGTCTTGCTATATTGCAATGACATGTGAATGGTTTTTTGAAAGAATATCAGTATAATAACATAAGCTCAACCAACAGTCCCACGGTTCTTGAAGAGTGAAATTCATCAAGATATAGAGCTAATGCACGCATTAGTGTGTCGCCTGGAGAGAGCTTGTTTGCCACACTTGTGAGTCATTGGGCTAAACACTTAAGATAGTTAATATATGAGACGCAGTTGATCGAACGCCAGTACAGGAAAATTCAAAGCGCTCGACAGATCTTAGACAACTAACAAAGGTAGGTCAGTAAACTACTTATTTACTGAAGTATTTTATACCGGTAGTTATTCCTTTTTAATTTTAAAGAAAAAAAAACTATTAATGAATTTTGACAAGACAAATGCCGGAGCTCCCAAGGGGGATTCTAGAATTTCAGCTACATGACATTTTTGAAAGAAATTCGCAACCGTCGGTAATTTTCAATAGTGGAATCTTTTTTTTTTTTCCAGTTTAATGTTATCCTTTTTGTCTGATTTTCCTTTTATTTTGTTCCGCACTGTATCGTTTTGATTAGATACGCGAGTCTTTTTTCGTCGTTTTTTTTCTCGCTATTTTATATTATTCTTAGTTGAATAGAGGCAGAGCTAGCCGCGGGCTTTTTGTATCGCAAGCATTCCATGTGTTTCGTGTCCGACTTAAATGGCCGATTCGATTATTACTGATCATTCCAACAAAAGGCAGAATTGCCCTTAGCAATGAGCAGGAAAACGTGGTTTTAGCTTATGAGAAAATGATTACTCCTGTGTTTAGCAACGTCCTGGCTTTTGAAGTCAAACGTCCTTTTCGTTGATCGAAGGAAAAAATGTTATGGTTAAGCTTCAGGCAACGCAATTCACATAATTAATAGATCAAACGAAGGCACGCTATGTAAGTGAGAAACTCAGCGATTTGCCAGAGACTATATATATTGAGTAGCCGTGTTCAGTATAAGGTACGTAACGTCTACAGACATATTTCAGCCTTTCATGAAGTTCTGTCAAGTGATGTTTAGCTTTAGATGGATCGTTTTGTAGAAGCACCAAAGAATCGTCGTATTTCAATGATTGATCTTTTTATATTGCCGATTTTAAACGATGGGATGACGAAAATGAATGCGCGCTTCGAAGTGTCAATGAAAAAAGTAGATTTGAGTGAATGATAGGGTTAGCCTCGATTTTGTAAAAAATATTCGATTTTTTCTGAGATGTTGTTTTTAAATTCTAGGAATTTTCCCACGTAATTTCACTGATATATTCCAGTTTTCGAGTTCTGTTGCTCAGGGTTAGCCTCGACTTTGTGAAAAATATTTATGTGTTCTAGTGAAGGTCGTGGAATTTCAAAGTGTTTGTATTGTTGAAGTTATTGTGCATTCTTTACTTTACCGTTGGTATTTGTGAATATTTAGACACTGAAAAGAAGCAAACCAGCCCGTGAGACACACTGAAATAAAAGAACACAGCGGCGAAAATTTGTTGAAAATTGCTGAAATTGAAGTCATTATAATTATAGTTTTCTGAAAGTTTAGACAAAACCTCCTTATTTTGAAACACTTTTTGCGTTTGCTGTTTAAAATCTGACTTGTAACTCCGTTTGGACAGCAGACTGAAACAATTACTGAAGGACGATTAAAACAGAACCAATAATTCTAGTCTTGGCAATGAAGCAATTAATTCCAGACCAAAATGAACTAGCTAAACGTTAACTGTGTCTAGATGTTTGAGGGACATCCACGTGAGAGGGCAGTATCGACGCATGGTGATTCTGATTGGATGATTACACTTTTCTGATACGCTATTGGTCACGTTTTCTGTGTGTTTTTTAAAATACTTTTGCAAAATGTTGTGTGTGAGAATAACTTATATTTTGAAGTCTTTCAGCGAGTCTATTAATAGACACAGTAAGAGAATGTGAAGCCTGACAAAAACCTTCGCTATCCGTCCACGATTACTTTCCCATTTACTAAAGAATCAAATAGGAAAAAAAAAAAAAAAAAAAAAAAAAAAAAAAAAAAAAAAAAAAAAAAAAAGATGGTCGAACGCATGACAAAAACGAATGAGTCATCAAAACGTCTTCCTATCTTAGTTGGAAGTATACTACATAGAAAATATTACGCTTTTAAATAGTGAAAAATCCGCGACTTTCTTTTCATGTTTTTGATTCAGATAACTAAAAGTGTCATTTATATTAGACTGTTTCACTGTCCAGTACTATGTACTTTATCAAGTGGTATATATGAATGTATTGTACTCGATATTTTTTGAATGGTTCGGTAACTAATACTGACAAAAACATGTGTACACGAATGGACGTGATGAATAAGGGCACAGAATCGTGAAGCATCGAGAACTCATCTTAAGTATACTGAACTCGTATGATCCTACAACCTTCCTGCACTTTATGAGTAAAGTAAAATATACTGGCATAAACGGAAAATCCTGGACCTAGAGCTGAATAGAGGTTTTGCACTATCACGTGCTGGGGCCATAATCCAGTTTGGGCTGCCTGTGGTTAGATGACAGAACAATAAAATCCCTTTGCCCTTGGGAATTTAATTCTTTCTCATGTAAGACGATTGTATTGTTCCTGCCATCTAACACTGATGCCTGCCATTACGTGATGGTGCAAAACCTTTATAGACCATTTTCGAGTTCCAATTTACCGCTGTGTTCCTTGATTACAGACTCATTTATTCAAGGTTAGCCTCGTATCAGTGCCTAAATATTCACAAATACCAACGATAAAGTGATGAATGCGACAACTTCAACAATACAAACGCTTTGAAATTCCACGACATTTACTAGAACACATGAATATTATGCACAAATTCGAAGCTATCCCTGTGTAAATGAGTCTTTAATCAAGAGACAAAGTAATCTCGTACCCAAAGCCTGCGTTTCTTCTAGCCTGCGGAGAAGAACGAGTGCTCTGGCATAATTCATTTTTTGAGACCAGGATTTCTTGGACTTCCGATATGCACGGCATGCGTTCAAATACTTGCCAAAAATTTAAAAATTTTTTTCCTGATTTATGATTTTTATTTTGATCGTAAGTAAACGCAAAGCATGCTTTGAAAGCATGATTTTCATTGATTATATTTAACTTTGAAAAATTGCGCATGCGCCAAAAAATAGATTATGCCAGAGCTCTTGTTCTTCGCCGCAGGCCAGAAGAAACGCAGGCTCTGTGTACGAGATTGGAAACACAGGGGTAATTTGAAACTCGAAAATGGTATATTAACTCTATTTCAGTTTGACGTCAATCGTATGGAAATGGTTTTTTAAAAATCTTTTCTTCATGAAAGGATTTTTTTGTTCAAAGCTCTAATCGTTTTAGGTGAAGGTGGCAAAATTTGAAACATTTTCTGCTTTATTTCTGGGTTTTTTTTACTTAGCAGCTGGACTCGGAAACGGATACTTCACAACTTAAAAGCTCTTGAGAGAGTGCAAAGAAAGGGTGCAAGGAGAAATGACAAGGCTGAATAAACATGTTCCTCTTCTCACCTTAAGAACCAATGGAACCTTCGCAATAGACTCGTAAACGAATGATAATGAATAAGAATGAGTTTGAGAACACGTTCAGTGAATCATATTTTTACAATTCAAATTAACACCGATCATTCTATTCCAGATGAAGACCTCATTCTTAGCTGTTGTCATGGTGATGTGTATACTTCTACCTTACACACAAGCTATGGTTGGATGTGATTTTTGTAATGAAGAAGCCCAGAAATGCCTAACGGCCTGTGAAGGCTTTGAGGGTTGCACAGCTTGCTCAAGTTTCACAGGTCTCTGTCTTAAAAACTGCATGCGTAAGAAGCGAACCCTAGGAGAAGCCTTCCAGAAACGACTCCGGCTTAGAGTTCAGGAAAAAGATGGCCATTAAATCGAGAAAGAATCCTCGCCCCTCCACTCCATGAACAACCCTCCATTATAGGCAACGTCGACAACACCGTAAGAAGAGGTCCTACCTATCAAAACCATGTCGACAAATTATTATTCCCCAGTATTTTCCCCAGCATTTTTACAGAACCTAGGCTTAAAAGGATTTGAATAAAGACGGAAAGTTCTTTTGAATTGTCTAGCTAGTAATGGATTATTTGAACCATTGTACGAGACATCTTGTTTGTAAAAGCAGTTTTGTGCATTGTTTCCTGAATAAAAGTAAATATGCATGATTATTGTACCATTTGTCTTACTTGTACTGTGCGTGTATTCATGTTATAAAACTGCCCTCAAATCGAACTGAAACTTCATCAGGAGACTAGACAAGGCACGAGATAAGGTATTCTTCGAGTTACGATTTTCGAGTTACACATTTTTCGAGTTACGCGAGGGACACACCCATGTTTTGAGGGCTACGCCCACTTTGACATCTGTGCGTAACTCGATGGCAAACAACGTTGAAATCAAACTCGAGTTACGTAACTCGAACCCAACAGATGGAACCTTATTTTTCGAGTTACGCGTATTTCCGTAACTCGATTCCTTTTATCTTAACTGTTTCATTAGAAACACCGACACAGCTCGTTTTAGCTAGTTATATCTTCTGGTTTTATATTGCGGTAGCTATCATTCGAGCTATCTCGAGAAAGAGAAAAAGAGAAAATATACTAATGATATTCGAGTAATATATATCTGTATGATATATACGGAAAGAACGTATTAAATGCGAGTAAATATAGACAATATAAAATGAAGAAACACGAATAAAAAATATAAATGAATAGTTGAGCGAGACAACCACCTCGACTTATGAAATCAGTCTAAAAAATAACACGAAAAAAATAAAAGTTTAACTCGAAAAAATATTTGTCCACTTTTAGAATCGAGTTACGGAAATAGCGCGTAACTCGAAAAATAAGGTTCAATCTGTTGGGTTCGAGTTACGTAACTCGAGTTTGATTTCAACGTTGTTTGTCATCGAGTTACGCACAGATGTCAAAGTTGGCGTGACCCCAAAATATGGGTGTGTCCGAGCGCGTAACTCGAAAAGTGTGCAACTCGAAAATCGTACTGACTCGAAAATCGTAACTCGGGTTTTTCCTTCCCTCACAAGGCACAAACAACGACTGCAGCAAGTTTTATACAGTTAATTTTTCTCTACTTTCCCATACGCATAATACTTTGCGGCTTTGGGAGGGTAGGGGGGGGGGGCCGTAAGCAGAGAGAAAAAAACTTATTTTACTGAAGGCTGGTCACAAACAATGTTGAAAATACTTCGTTTGATATTCAAATATAAAATGTAGAAGTGAAAACAGGAAAAGATAGAAGCTTGAAGAAGTTTAATAAATTCAAGTAAATTAACTCTCCATAATTATCAAATTTACCTTTAGTACTGTACTGAAAGTAACTTTGATTAACTTATTAATGAGAGAAATCGCTAACGAAGCGACCCCGGCCACAGGGAGCCCGGCTTTAGAATTTGTACATGAATAAAAAAATCAATAAGTGCTTTATTGGGTTTCCTGTGTTTAGAATTTGTTCATGAATTAAAAAAATCAATAAGTGCTTTATTGGGTTTCTTGTGTTGAGATTTGAAACAAGACGCTGATACGTTGAATTTCCGGTAATCGTACTAACCAGTAACTTGATAGCAGATTAACGTAACGTATCAGTGTAACGCACGCCCTAGTAAATGGTAAGAAAGAGAGAAGGGCTGAAACTAATTTGAGTACCTATTTTGAAACCGCCGTTAAAATAATTCGCAATGGTTATTTACCAGCAAATACAGCACCAAACGATCACATGATGAATAAACTTAACGACAGCTTGTCTTATTTATAGGGAATATTAATCTGTGACACACAAAACAATGATATTTGTAAGCCATACTTTAAATGTATGTGGACCAGTGGTTGATGGGACCAGTTAGCTCTACAACAGAGACCTCTTTGGTAAATATCCGCTTTCAAACAATAGACTTTGACAGATTCATGACAGTTTCACTGAAATGCAGCGTTCTATTTTTATCGTTTGCCGCCAAATAAAAATATTCCGCGCAAACGTTGACATCAAAATATCAATAACTGTGGTTTATGGCTTTAAAAAGAGAGCAACAACTTGCGGTTGATTTAAGTATAGCTGGATATTCTCTATTCCTTACTGGCAAAGGAGGAACCGGCAAGTCATTCGTTGTGAAAACAATATTTAAAGAACTAACAAAGCTGTCATGTAGCACTGAAATGGCGTGCTCAGTTTTACCAAGTTCTGTTGGCGCAACAACACTCCATTCGTTCGGCTGGTATCAAAGATGGCCGGGGCAGTTCTGAACGCCAGCTTGTAAAAGATGGCTTGACGCACAAGTTCTGATAGTTTATGAAATTTCCATGCTGAATAAACATGTCTTCGAATCAATCGAATTCATATCACGAAGGTTGAGAGGTAACGATGTAGTTTTTGGTGGCTTACAAGTTATTGGTATTGGAGACTTTTATCAGCTACCCCCTGTGCACCGAGAAACGAGAGGTTCTGGTTGTAACCGATTTTTTGAGCATTCCTATTGGTCCGGGAAAAAACAATAGAAAGAGGGCTACCTGTGAGGCAACGTGATTGGAGAGTATTGGTCACTTTGTCGGGAGGTTTTTTTACAACAGGAAGCCCTTATCACGCTAGCTTGCTAGACCAGAGTTAATAGAGGGTGAGACATTATAAGGCTAGACATTATAAGGGTCTATTATACTCAATAAACTACACATATCGCAGTTAGTAAAAATAGGAATATAATGGCTTTTTTTATTATAAATTATATTGGTTTATTTGATAAAATATCTCGTTAAATTGTAGTACATCTCAGGACAGCTTTTGTTAAAATAGGGAAGAGATTCGCTTAAAAGGTAGACCTCTTATGGGCCTGACTCACGTGTTAGTCGGAACAATAGATTCCACCACACATAGCCTCGAAGTCGAGTGCTTGAGAATTCTTATGAGAATTGTAATTCTCATGAGAATAACATGGCTACCGCGTTAGTAAGGCCCATTTCAATGTACAACACTTGATAGTCAGTGGAGTGGCTAACAAACCAGTTGCCTTCTCTCCATAACCGAATTGAAATTTGAAAGTGTCGATTTTCACAGAGGAAGGAAATCCAGAGAAAACCCTTGAAGCACAGAAGAGAACCAAACAGAAACTCTACTCACTTTTAGGTTAGATTTTGTCACTTAATTCAGCGAAGTGAGACAGGGAACCCAACAATGCTGTTAAAGTTAGTACCATCAACATATTACTTAGTCACGTGACAAACTCTCCAGAATGGCAAAATCCCCTGACACCTATATTAGACACTCAGAGTGGCGCTTTGATCAACAAAACATTCAGATAATTGAAAACAACAAATGCCATCTTTACCAACAGAGCCACACCAGCTACTAGTCCGCCAACAGTATAAAAATAAACTTTTCGAAGTATTATTATAATTTCTACAAGGACATTTTGCTGAGTATTGGAATGATCTGGTCGAATCTTGGTCTCTTGCTGGGGTCGGTGTTCCAGCATAGGCGTATTAACTTGACCATGTGGAGTGAGACACCTGGAGGGATGGGTGGCCTTAGCCCTTCTAATGCAACCTACAATAAAAATAAGAGTAACCATTCAGTTTGAAAAATAAGTAGGATACCAGAACACGGGGGGAGGGCGGATACCCTGTTCCAGATGGCTGTAAACCATACTCTGTTTGGCAGCTCATACCTGTATAGAGAATGTGAAAGAGTACCCCCCCCCCCCCGGATACCAGGGGCTAATTAACAATAATTAGACCTGCAGCCGAATGGTCTACGAGTCAATATAGCTCATGAGGCTGTTGGGGAGAGGCCTAATTCTTTTAGTATAAACCTACTAGAGTGAAGGGATTTCATCAGTGAAATAAAATATACTATCTAGTCATTACTATCTAGTTGTTGGTTGTTGTCTTACTGCGTAACATTCTAATAAAAGCCTAAAGATCCAATAGAAATTTAGAACTTCATTTTCAGAGCAGGTGGAAAAGCAGAGACCTGTTAACAACCCTCAAAGGCTCTCAAAACAAAGAAGAGAACTCAGCACCAAGTAACTCCATTAAGAAATAATGATGGGTACACCAAGTCAAATTATGGCTGAAGTGATGAGAGGTGTAACTAGGCCTACCTTCATGCCAATCTCCATCGGGGAAAGGTCTGCAAAAGGAACCTCTCGTGTTACCAGTTCCCAGAGTAGAATGGAGTAGCTCCACATGTCAGCTGACCTTTGATCAACTTCTTGGGGGCTCTTCTGAAGAACTATAAAAAATGAGAGAATAAAGGTACCTTATTTCAGAGGAATTCGAGCACCACACTTTTAACAGCAATTGCGCTGACTGACTGTACAAAACATAGATATGGGTGTGCACCACTGTGAGCATAACAGTGTGATATGAACATTATGATTGGACGAGCAATGTTATATGGTATGGATGATCCCAGACCATCACTGTCCTATAGACCATGTGTAGCACATTGGAATGCGACTCAATTTAGAGGACATAACAATAGGTTTCCAATTCTCAGGAAATTTTTTTTTGTTTTGTCCTCCCAATTGAGCTGCTTTGGCGTCACACGGTGTAACATGGTGTCACATACACCATCATTTTTCACGCAGGTAAGAATTACATTTCAGAGAAATGTCTTACATTCAGGTGCCATCCAGTTTGGAGTTTCATATTTGCTTAAATTCATGAATGAAAACCTATAGTCAGCCATACTAATTCTCGCAGTCAGATCTTCATCAATCTAGGATAAAACAAAAGGCAATAGTATCAATACATTGTGTCAAGAAGAGAAGCTCAAACACCAAGGGTGTGGGTGGGGTGCATCCTGCATTGGCATGTTATTATCACCCTTGATTTAAGAGGGAGCCTTAGACATGTTCAGTCACTGTGGTAGAAATAAATTAACTTTATCTTGGGGAAAAATTATAAAATCTTGTCAAACTACCACTATGCTACTTAATACAGGAAATGCCTCTTACCCTGATGCAAAGAAACAGATATTTGAGTAAAAAAACCTGTGCACGTACCATAATATGAGTACTTTTCAAGTACAGTCTTGGAATAAGTTGATCTAATGAGTGAAGATACTCCATTCCTCTTGCAATGTCCATGGCAAATTTAATAGCTTGTTCCTGGTCTACAATGATACCAGTTCCTTCATGGAGTATGTTGAAAAGGGAGCCATAGTGCATGTGTTGTGACAGGACGATCAAGTCTTTGTGATCATTGACAGCTCCTATCACTGGCAGCACATTGGGGTGGGAAAATATCCTGCAATTATGCACACACTGTGAATATCTTCTTCTTCTTCTTGCTAGTGTGCATTTTGTAAAGTCATGCAACTTAGGTTTTGAGACAGGTTATTGAGGGTCTATTTTTGCACGCATGTGTGGCAGAAGATTGCATTTCTATCATCATGTACCATCATCGTCATCATGCATC